TAGCTCAATGGATAGAGTGTCAGCCTGTGGACTGAAAGGTCCCAGGTTCAATTCTGGTCAAGGAGCATGTACCTTGGTTGCAGGCACATCCCCAGTGCGGGGAGGGGAGATCAAGGGGCAGCTGATTGATGTTTCTCTCTCATCGATGTTTCTGGCTCTCTGTCCCTCTCTTCCTCTCTGTGAAAAATCAATAAAAATATATATATATATATATATATATATATATATATATATATATATATATATATATATATATTTTTTTTTTTTTTTTTAACAAAAAGATGGTGACAGAGAAAGGGGTTGAAGATAAATATCAGCCTAAGCAACAGTGTTTGCAATGGTAAAATTCGGACAACACAAGGCAAAGAAAGAGAGACTGTGCAGAGTTTTCCTCAGTCTGGGTGGGTATTATCACTCTGGTGTGTGACCCTGGGTGTCCAGAAGAGGCTCCTGATAACAGAACTCAAAGAGCTCTGGGTTCTCCTTTAGACTTATCTCAGGAGACAAAGTGTACCTCACCCTGTCCTCGTTAGAACTTTGTGGCAATAGTTATCATTATTACTCTCTACAAAGTGCCTTTTCACAGGTAAAGCATTGCTATCCTTGCACTACAGTTGAAAAAGTAAACTCAGGAAGGTTGTTAAATTCCCATTTAAATGCACCGATTCTTTCCCTGCTGCCATCCAGCCGCACTGAAGCGGCAGCTCAGGGACATTCAAGATTTGGCTCCACCGTCAACTCACCTGCTACCAACCTGTACCCCACCACCACGGCCATGGCTGAGGGAGGTACTGCAGCTGGAGGGGTAATGGATGTTAAGACTACTTTACAAAAGGTGAGGAAGACCGGCCTCAGCCATGATGGCCTAACATGGAACATGAGGAGCTGCCAAAGCTTAGACAAAGGCTAAAACCATCTGAGTGAGCTTGCTTTATCTGTGATGACCCTGTGTATGTCAAGTTGGTGGAGGCCCCAAATCAACCTCATTAATATTTATTTTTACTTTTATTTTATTTTACATGTTTAGGTTTATTTAACACAATTTTTTAAATTCAGATTATTTAACACTATTTTTAAAACATAATTTTTAATTAAAATATTGAATGTTTACTTTTTTACAGAAAAAAAATGAAGATCTCTGAGAATTTATAACCTTGCTTTTTCTATTTTAGAATTACAATTTTTCATTAGTGTGCAAGACCAACAGATTGAATTGCTTCCCAGTTCTTATAGATATTGTTAGTAATGGGCTACTTAGAATGGCTAAATCATCAGCACATATCCAAACTGGAAGAAGAACATCTTTCAAGGTAATTATGTACACTTTGACTCCCCTTCATCAGGTATCTTCCGTGGCTGAGATTTTTTTTTTGATTTCTTTATTGATTAAGGTATCATTTATTGTCCTCAACCCCCATTCTAATCACCCTCCACTAATGCCCCACCCCCCTGTTGTCCTTGACCACTGGTTAGGCTCATATGTATGCATATAAGTCCTTTCAACCTCATTAATATTGATGACAACAAAAAACTAGGGAGATGCAGTAGTAAATATTCTACATGTGCCTGTGAGCTTTTGGCCGACCTATATATCTAGTTAATTTAAGATCAAGCCACCATGGTGCTAAGCTGACCATAACCCCTACTTCTGATGAGTTGTTATCCTGTAAAGTCACTGTGCTAAGCATAGAATTTCACAGCAGGATTTTCCACGTATATGTTGTATAAGGAAGTATTTGTGGAGTGATAGATTTTTTGCTTGACCAACTGAGTCAGCACTTGTGGTGTCAATGGTTAATAACTCTTCCCTCTGAGGTTTTAGATTCACACTTGTCCTGAAATCAAGGCAGGCCAGAATGATGCCCAAGAAGTCACTCTTCAGATTGGAGAGGGCCAGAAAGGGCTCAGGACATCTCTCATTCCTTTGCAGCTGGACTTGGCGAGTAGCTGTCTTTAAAGAGCCCCTCCACCCCTCTTCACCCCAACCCCAACTCAGGATAGTTAAACTGCTTAGGCAACGAACCTTGAAGCATGTCCTGTGTATTAAAACCTGGCTAATATGTATGAAGCTAAGAATTTCTCAAAAACAAATTGTAAAATTATGGGAAAATATCATTTGTCCTTTTGAATAAAGTGACTCAGCTATTTGCAAAAAAAAAAAAAAAAAAAAACTAGGGAGATGGGTAGGCCCTCTGAAAAAATTGATAAAGAGGGAAAACCCCTTAAAGTGGTTGGTTGCACTTGTGTGGTGTTAAGGATTATGATAAAAATTTCTCGGGCTAAAGATATCATCAAATGCAAGAAATGAGTGAATAAAAATTTGGCTCTTGTTAGAATACATGAATGGACATGAATCGTCATTTCCTCCCAGCATGTACCATTCAAGGATTTGTGACTTGTTGGCATGATAAGCATAAAAAGCGATCCTTCTGTCATAAACAGTTCTTCCCAGCACCAAGATAAAGGCACACTCTCTGCCCAGTTAGTCAGCTCTTCTTTGTCCTGGATGGATTGTTCTTGAATTATATCTCTGTTATTCCAGAAAGACTTCTGACAAGGGTCTAAGATCTGGTTTATCTTCTCTCTCTCTGCTTGACATGGACAAATCACCAAGTTCTGTGTCCACTTTGCCCACGGTTCTTCCTCCCTATCTGTTGGTCAGAGTCTGGTATGTGCACACATTCCTGTCTCATTGCCACCTTCCCTCTTCTTTCTGTCCAGAAAGTGATGTCAGTATCCAGCCCTGGCTGCTGACAGATGCTCAGACCACCACTACTGATGGTGCAAGGGAGGGTGGCAGATGAGGCTGTTCTGTTCAGTTCCTAGTTCACTGTGTATTGTTTACAGTAGAAATGTTTTAAGGTAGAGGAAGGGGAAGCGTATCAAGGATGTTTAAGGAGATCTTGTAAACATTTGTACTCTGGGTAACTGTTAGTGTTTCTTATTTTGGACTTTTTATTTTAAAGAACTGAAAAGACTGTGTAGGCAAGAGTTCAAAAGTGTCCGTTAGTGTCATTCCAGGCTGGGTTGGTATAGCTTTTCCAATATCCACTCCATCTGCTTCTTTCTTACCCCTAAAAACACCTGATTTTGCTCAAGGCACAATATGCCAAATTTAAAATACTCACCTTACTATCCTAGCTGGTTTAGCTCAGTGGATAAAGTGTCGGCCTATGGACTGAAGGGTCCAGATTCAATTCCAGTCAAGGGCACATGCCTGGGTTGCGGGCTCAATTCCCAGTGTGTGGTTTGCAGGAGGCAGCCAATCAATAATTCTTTCTCATCATTGATGTTTCTTTGTCTCTCCCTCTACTTTCCTTTCTGAAATCAATAAAAATATATTAATAAATAAATAAATAAATAAAACACTCACCTTACCACACTCACTTGAATTAGAAATGGCCATGTGACCCAATTCTGGCCAGTGATATGCAGGTTGAAATTGCTGGGTGGGAGGCTCCCAGGAAAACTTTTTTAAAGGGGAGAGTCTTAGCTGGCATTGGCTTTCTTTTTCTCTTCCTTTATTTCCCTCTTTGACATAGCATACTCAATGACCAACCATCCATCTTGCATCCATGAACACAAGAGCCTCATGCTAAAGATAGCAGAGTAGGAAGACAAGAATGACCGTAGTTCCTTGACAACATTAGGGAGCCGCCTATCTGCTGGTGTTCTATGTTAAAACAATAATCATTTAAAGAAATAGACAAAAAGTCTATTTGGTTAATTCACTGTAATCAAGTTTTTGTTCCATACAGTCAAATACAACCTTAATTGACAGGCTGTTAACATGTTTAATGTGCTACTATAGAAAACTAGAGGCCTGGTGCATGAAATGTGTGCACTGATTGGGTCCCCAGCAGCCACCTGTCACAGCTGGGGCCTTCCTCCCTTCCCCCAGCTGGCCCCGCCCCCCTGGTTTAACTCCCAGATGAACTTGGAGGAGGGGACAATTTGCATATTATGCTTTTATCATATAGGATGGGTGAAAATGGACTGCAGAGTCCTTTAGGACAGTGCTGCTCAAACTTTCATGTGCATGTCCACCCTGTGGGGACCTCATGAAAGATGCAGGTTTCGATTTGGTAGGTCTGCATCGAAGCCTGAAATTCTGCATTTCTCACAAGCTTGCAGCTGATGCCAGTGCCGGACCACCCTCTGAGTAGCAAGAATTTGGAAAATGACAGCTCTTTTGTCAGTCTGCTCTTATGGTGGTCATTCTGTTTTTCTTTGATGTGCTTATTATTCAGTAAAAAAAATAAAAAATAAAAAATAAAAAAAATTTCAGAGGACTCAGTGCATTTTCAACAAAAAGTTAATGTTTTATTTAGAATATCATTTTAGAGACAAAAAGCAGTTGGCTAGCAAAATAAATTTAACAAAGGCATTTAAATAAAGCAAATCAAAGACTTTAGTGGATTTTTTTTTTTTTCTTAGTTACTTGCTTTTCTGTCTTGTCGCTTGTGCAGTTTCTGTCTTTTAGCCTAACCGGGTTCTTTCTAAGTGAACGCAGCTTTAATCTGACGAACTACTGAATGAAACCTGAACGACTCAAATATTCCTCTGTATTCTCATACAACTTCAATGTATTCAATGAAACACAAGGAAAGCAACTTAGGGGAGTAGATTCAGAAGGAACAGTTTCTCCCTCTTGCCTGCTCTGAAATGGATATTGAAAGGAAGTTGTTATTCAAAGGTGTCGATTCAAAGCAAACTTAAGTAATTTTCACACCATCTGTCATCGTGACCCAAAAGGGAGGGCAAGCCACATCACCTGCCTCGTCAAACCGCTGCTTCACCCAGAAGCTGCACATAGCTTCCTATTGTTATTGCATTTTCTGGTTATGTACATTAAAAAAATACAACCTTGTGTTACATAGCAGGACAGCGAACAGTGAACATAAAACACGACACTGACAAACCAAAACAGCTTGGTTAAGCCCAGGAGAGAAACAGCCGGTGGTCTTCATAGAGGGGAGCTGCCCGTGCCCCCCATCTCCTTAGTCCGTCACGGATCTGCTTTCTGAGGGCAGGCCTTCCGACTTCCGCCACTGGGCCAGGCGCTGCTTAAACCATTTCTGGAGGAGTGAAATGTGGAAAATTAATTACCTGTCACATACTAATAAAAAAAAATGATGTCCATTCCCTTCTAAAAGATAGCCTCTTTGATACAAAGAGAAAGGAGGATTGCCTGGCCAGGGTTGCTCAGTGGTTAGGCATCAACCTACAAACCAGGAGGTGATGGCACATAATTCCTGGTCAGAAACAGGACTAGGTTGCGGGTTCAATATCTACTCGGGGCACGTATGGGTTGTTTCTTTCTCACATTGATGTTTCTCTTTCTCCATTCTCTTCTCTAAATCATTAAAACATATCTTCAGGTGAGGATTTAAAAAACAAAACAAAACAAAAACTGGAAGAGGGACCAGTGAGAAATAGAAGCAGCAAGCACTGATGGACCTGGGAGAGGACTCTATGAGGAGGCGGAGCCTGCAGACTCTATTCTCCGTGGTCTTTGCCCACCGTTCACTCATCATGGTGCACATTTAGAAAGCTGATATTTTCATGTTCCCCTGGTGTAAAGCTGCTCAGGTAGATGACCACCGGGGAGCCCTGCAGTCCCGCATCCTGCCAACAGGGAGCGCTATTGTGACCAATTGGCTCTGAGAACTTGAGGAAGTTTCTAAAAACGGAGCATGCGTCAGCTCACCTGTAAAAGAGGTAAGCTCAGGGGGGTCGCTGTTGTCCCTTCTGGGATTTCTAGAATTTACCTATTCCAAGGATAAGCAGAGGAGGGGACGGAGAGGGAACAGAAAGAGCTCAGCTATGGGATGCTAGACCTGCACTGTGCTGATGGAACAGCGTTGTGAGAAAGAAAGCAGGGGTTCTGACTTAGCAGAAATGGACACCTGCCCAGCTGCACATTTAGCCTCAGAACAAACAGGCAGGCTCTAGGGCCCTGTGGGGAAGATGTCATCCCTGCGGAGATCTAGGGAGCTGCAAGGCCGTTGGCATAATCTCAAGATCAGAAGAAAGGGTGAGCCGGGACCGGTTTGGCTCAGTGGATAGAGCGTCGGCCTGCGGACTGAAGGGTCCCGGGTTCGATTTCGGGCAAGGGCATGTACCTTGGTTGCGGGCACATCCTCGGTAGGGGGTATGCAAGAGGCAGCTGATCGATGATTCTCTCTCATCGATATTTCTAACTCTCTATCTCTCTCTTCCTCTCTGTGAAAAATCAATAAAATGTATATAAAAAAAAAAAGAAGAAGAAAGGGTGAAAACCAGAGGAGGAGGAGTGTTTCTAAGGATCAAGGGCCGTGGGGAGAGAGGGGAGTGAGGCCACAGGACACGGTAGGACTCTGCACCAATGCTAGGCTGGCTTCCCAGCATGCGACCATACCTGCAACCTCACCCCCCCCAACTGTACACTGAAATGCTGTGCGCAGCTGTTAAGTCAGTTGTCTTACACATCTTGGTACTGTGAGGTGGCAACAAGAAAAGTCCTGGGACAGCTGATGACCCACCCGTAGGGAAGCCTTCTCTTTGGGGATTGCTGTCTGGGTGCCATGTTTCACACCTGGGAATAACGAACCTTAAGGAGAAGAGAGAGCTCATGTAACTTCAGTGGCTTTAATCAAAGTTCTACTGCTAAAGGTGGGCACCATTTCTTCTGTAACCCGTGTGAGTTTAGCTAACTCCGAAATCCCGTGTGATGGGGACGGGCAGCATGGCTCCAGCTTCGTTAATGAGGCAGCTCCTTGGGGGTTTTCAAAGCTACAGGGTCTGATTCAATAGGATTTCCAGCTGCCAGAGCTGAATAAAGGGCAGAGTTTTTAAAGACTAATTAAAACTTGGAGGAGAAAAATCTCTCTCTCTCTTTTTTTTTTAATCAGGATTTGTTTAGGACAAAAATGAGTGAGCTGGCCTCATTCAGAAGGGCCACCCACATCTTCACACAATTCACGAGGCAGAATATTAATGTACAGCTACCGAAAATAACCAGCAAGGACCACCGAGGTGAACTGGCGAGATGGCATCTAGATGCTTAACCGAATGAACCCCTCACCTCTGGGGACGGGACAAAGTTCAAGAAAAGCTCGACACTTTTCTAAAGATATGTATTGTAAACCAAGTATGTATATACTAGCAATAATTTCGCAAAGCCGTTGCTGTCCAACAAAAACCATTCAACACCTTGCTTGCTCTCCCCGCTGCAGAGCTGAATCTCTCCACATCTCACTCACATCAATACTAATTTTCCAGCCGGCTCTCCGCTGTCTCAGGTCTCCCCTGGGAAAGACATTCATCCCTCGCTTGCTTATAAGCGCATGCCCTCATTACCCTCGCCCATTGATGGGGATTTATTTACTCCAAGTGAACAGATGATAATTAGACACTGTGATGGGGAGGGGCTGAGTCAAAATAACAGTGTCCCTGTCCTTTTCTCTGGTCACTAACATTTCATCCCTTCCAGGAGGAGACCTTTAGAGGTCTTTATTCCACCGATAAAACGTCCACAACTAAAAGAACCACTGAGTTCTGGGAACCGTCCCAGGACGCGAAGAGCAGATAAAAATACTGGAAACCTCGCTGAGAACCAGTGCCAGCAGACGCTGGGCTCGAGTCAGTGATAATAGAAAGCGCCAGATCATCGGGACCTCCCAGGGGGCTGATGAAAGAGCTTTCCCAGAGGCTTCTGACCCGGACTTCAAAACAATGCAAGACACAGGGGTCGGTGTTCTGTCAGGTTTATCTAATTTCAATGGAGGCACTATCAGATTACTGCCATGAGAAAAAACCTGTTCTATTCAGGAGATGCAACTTTAAAAGTTATTCCATTAGGTCACCCTTCACGTCATTCTGGCTTCCCACAGGTGCCCCCTCCCACAGCACAGAACATTGACCTGCGGTGGGACAGTCAGGGAGAGGTCATCAACGCCCCCGGGCAGAGAATGTGGCACCTTTTAGCCCCTCTTGCCCCTGCCCGTTCACCAGCAAGGATTATTACACCGTGGTCGGCAAACCACAGCTCGCGAGCCACTTGTGACTCTTTGGCCCCTCGAGTGTGGCTCTTCCACAAAAATACCACAGCCTGGGCGAGTCTATGTTGAAGAAGTGGCATTAGAAGGACCTTAAGTTTAAAAAATTGGGGTCTCAAAGGAAATGTCAATTGTTGTACAAATGAGTTTGCCGACCACTGTCCTAGGAGCATCTCCTGTTTATTTTCTCTCCTGACGCATTACTTGTTCTAGGAAAATAAACAATAGGATTCAAATTCTGGAGGGGGGGGGGGGCGTGTCAGGGATGAGAGAACCAGGATATGAAATAAAAACTATTTTGGTGTCCTTTATGAGTGGTGTAAAGGGACAACACTAATAAAGTAGGGAAACAGGGTGTGCTCATGGGGAGGCCTAGCATCCCCTGGCCCCCAGGAGTTATTTAAAAGGCCCCTGCAGCTGAAACCGGTTTGGCTCAGTGGATAGAGCATCAGTCTGTGGACTGAAGGGTTCCAGGTTTGATTTCAGTCAAGGGCATGTACATTGGTTGTGTGCACATCCCCGGCAAGGGGTGTGCAGAAGGCAGCTGGTCGATGTTCCTCTCTCATCGACGATTCTAGCTCTCTATCCCTCTTCCTTCCTCTCTGTGGAAAATCAATAAAATGTATTTAAAAAATAAATAAAATAAAATAAAATAAAAGGCCCCTGCAAAGCCTACTATAAATAAAAATGTTTATGTCTGAAAATTCATCATTGGAATAATATCTCCAGAATACACTTTTAAAAAAAAAGATACTTTAAAAATGTAAATACTGTTTGAAAGATTAAAGATGAAACCATTCTCACATACCAGTGCACACTGGAGTCAGAGGGGGCAGGAGGGTGGGGGTGGGAAGAATGGGGAGCTGGAAGATGAGCCCCCACCCGATAACGGATGACAGAGGGCTACCTTGGAAGCCTCTTCCCCCAACTTGCTGTTGCCTCTCTGAGCTCTGGGCTCTGGGGTGCTTCCCTGCGGGTCTAAAAAGGAAGGCAGAGAGCAAGCCTCGCTATGGCAGCGCTGGGAGGAAGAGGTGTTGACCCCATGGCAGGAAAAGGAAGCCGGGGGCCCTGCTGGGAGGCTGACTCACCCCCACACACACTGGGCTCAGGGCTGGGTCTACCATCTGCTCGCAGGAGGAAGGCAGACGAGAGGAAACGGGAGAAGGGGCAGAGGCACCTGCTGTGCGGGGCTCTGAACTGACCGGCCTCCATCCCAAAAAGAAGCAGGTGCCTTCCTTGCTTCCTGGCCCACACCTGATTTCATGTCAGTTCTGTCATATAAGGTGAATCTTGAGGAAGACTGGATACAGCTGGGGTGGCTGTCATTTAATGCATGGATGTTGCTCAGGAAGAAACATAAATGGAATTCCAGCCCCCTGAGGTGTTTGCATTCCTCCTCTGTGGAGACCACATGGCATCCCGGTGAGGAGTCTGGATGGTGCCCAGCCTGCCAGGGCTCAGATCCTAGCTCTTGAGCAAATTATCTAACCATTCAGGTCCCTTCCCTGAACAACAGGGCTAAGAGCTGTGACAAATAAGCGATTTAATGCTTGGAGGGTGCATGGAACAATATCTGCTAGTTTCAGTCATTACAAAGGTCCACATAATTATCCCCGCCTTACAGGTAAGGGGACGGTGGCAATTCCCCACGGGAGAATCGGAGGCTGGGGAGAGCTTAGACCCCAGTTGGGGCCGTGCCCGCAATAAACCCACAGGCTTCTCTTTAAGCGATGAGTAATGACTGTCTCTGTGATCACTCTTCTTTTCTAAATATAGCAAGGGATTTTAAATAATAAAACTTCAGCAGGCCACCTCCTCACGGGTTCCAAGAAACATGAGCTGTAAGACTTGGGTTACAGCAAATCACCTCCTACTCCGTCCTGCTGTTCCCTTTGCGAAAACAGCGATGCCTGACTTTCTCTCTGACCTAGGAGTGAAAGGATTTTTCTAGAAGCCAGTTGTCCAAAGGGTGCCTGGCTTAATTCATAGAAATCACTTTGGAGTTGGGGGTGGAGGGTCTTAGTTCTGGGACCCACCGGAGCCCCCAGTGCAAGCTTTGAAGCCTCCTCTGAGCGTGGCTTGTGGTGAGGAGAGGACAGGGGGTCTGAGGCTCTGGGTATGCAGTGGGAAGAATAAAATTATCTCTGCCTCAGAGCCGAGTCTGGAGAGGTGAGTGCTCTGGGCTTCCATGGGAGAGAGGCTAGAGCAGCTCCCAGTAGCAGTATGCCTCATGCATAACCAACTGCCTTTCCATGACCAAAGGGAAAAAAAAGTCAGAGTTACCCAAATACCACCGCACCTGGAGGTGAATAACCACGGACAGTGTTTCATTCGCTACCCTAAACAGTTTTCAGGATAATGTAGGAAGTTTTAAAAATAGATTTTAAAAAATCCACGCATTGAAGGGGACATCTGCTTCCACTCCCTCAAAGATTACACCTGAGAGCCCGGGAGTTTTCAAATTTCCGAACCAAAACTCCTGGGAACCTCAGCTCTGCAGCTGCGGGGAAGCTGGGAGGCGGTGGCGAGGAACTAAGGACCCCAGCCGCCCTGGCAAGCTCGCTCTCGCTCGCGTGCTCTCTCTCTCTCTCTCTCTCTCTCTCTCTCTCTCTCTCTCTCTCTCTCTCTCTCTCTCTCTCTCTCCCTCCCCCCTGGGCCTCAGTTTCCTCGTTTGTCAAACCTGAGGACTACGTTTATTGCTGATCTCCAGCTCTGGCCTAGCCGCGGGGAGAGAAGAGGGCACTGGGCTGGGGCGCACGCGGCACCTCCCCGGAAGCGGGGCCAGAGAGGATGGGGGCGCTCCCCCCAACCCCAAGAAAGGAGAGAGCTCTTACCCCAGCCACAGGGGAGAGTGAAGGAAGGACGAACGTGAGATTTCTAAGCCGCTCTTGGGGAGCCCCCCGCGAGCTAGGGTTGGGGAGGTCGGGGCGCATCAGGGAGCCGGGAAGATGGGGTGCAGCGGTCGGAGCGATGCAGAACCGGGGCTCCCGGGAACGGGCTCCCGGAGTACGTGCACCGGAGATGAAGGATCGGGGGAGAGCGGCCAGGCGAGGGCGAGGGGCGCCCTAATATCCGCGTGCGGGGCGCGCAGCCCCGGGGACGGGACCCTCCGGGGCCGCGGGGGCCTCACCTGCGTCTCCTCCTCCGAGAGGCCGGCCTCGGCCGCGATGAGCAGCAGCGTGGTGGGGTCGGGGTGCTTGTTGACCTTGCTGAAGTTGTACTCCAGGATCTCCAGCTGGTCCTGCGTGGGGCCGCTCGCCGTGTCCGCCGACATGGTCCCGGCGCTGCGGGGAGGAGGGGCGGCGGTGAGCGGGGCGGGGGACGGGGCGCGGCGGCGGGGTCCCCGGGGCTGCAGGCGGCGGGGACCTGCCCGGAGTCTCACAGCGACTGGCCCGGGTCCGGTCTGGGCGGCTGGAGGAGGGTGACGCCGCGCCCTAGCGCCCTGAGACTCAGGAAGGAGCGGAGGAAGCGGCGGGGTTTTTGAAAAACCGCCTTCAAAGCTGCATGGGGGGGGGGGGGGGGAGCTGCCCTTGGGGCGGGAGACCGAGGGCGTGGGTGCCGGCTCTGCCTCCGGAGCCCGGGCAGGGCGGGCCGCGCCCCCCACGCCTCCCGCCCCAGACGGATGGGATGGCCCGTGGGCAGAGGGCCTGCAGCTCTCCCTTTTGCAGAGGCGGAGAGATGAGCATCAGGAGAGGGTTCCACCTGAGGGCTGGTGTGAGTCACTGCAGGGCACCCTCCCTCCCTCCCTCCCTGCACCCTGAGTTTTAGGCATGAGGCTGAGGCCTGCCCCCCCCCCCCTCCTGCCGCTCACTGCCCCGCGTGGCCTCGCCATTGTTCCACGGGACACAGGGGACAGGGGAGAGGCCACTCCGTTGTGTCCCCCTCTAGGTAAGGATCCCAAGACACAGCCAAAAACCCAACTCAGGAGAATGGACAGCAGCTGTCCTTTAAAAGTTCAGACTCCCCCTGTGATTGTGCTAAGATACACTGTGCCCTGGCCGGTTCTGCTCAGTGGACAGAGCGTCGGCCCGCTGACAGAAAGGTCCTGGGTTCTATTCTGGTCAAGGGCGCATGCCTAGGTTGCCCGCTTGATCCCCAGTAGGGGACATGCAGGAGGCAGCCAATCGATGATTCTCTGTCATCATGAATGCTCTCTCCCTCTCTCCTCCTCTCTGACAGCAATAAAAGTATGTTAACATAAAGTACCCTGTAAAGTCAAGAGAACAAATAGGTCCGTGACAAGCTCCAAGGTCTCTTGTATTTCCTTACTTTAGAACCAGACATTGCGCCAGGACCGGTTTGGCTCAATGAATAGAGCGTCGGCTTGGGGACTGAAAGGTCCTGGGTTCGATTCCAGTCAAGGGCATGTACCCTGGTTGCGGGCATATCCCCAGTAGGGGGTGTGCAAGAGGCAGCTGATCGATGACTATCTCTCATCGATGTTTCTGACTCTCTATCTCTCTCCCTTCCTCTCTGTACAATAAAATATATTAAAATTAATTAATTAATTTCTTTAAAAAAAAAAAAAAAAAGAACCAAAGAACCAGACATTGCTCTAGCAGATTGGGAGCAACATAACCTCCTGCATTCCTAAGCAGCCTCTGACTGGGTGAAGGGGGGGGGGGGGGCAAAAGGAAAGAAAAAGCCAGCTGTGCACCCTTCCACTCCCTCTCCCCAGTTGAAAATACACGGAGGTATATATACGTTTACCGTCAAGACCTTGGCGGTGGATTTGGTACTAACAGGCCAGGACTTCACCTTGCTGATAGCAAAAAGCAAGTGCAAGTGTGGAAATCGCATTGGTTCATTGTTGTAACAAACAATTGTGAAATCATCAGCTACAATCCTGAGCACGTTTTGGTGTGGCTTGTGCCTGGGAAGTCTGCCTGCAGAACGTTACCTGTGCCTTTTCTATAGTGACCCGCATCCCAGACTCCCTACACCAATATCATTCCCTCTCCGCTGGGCCATTTGAAGAGGCTTTCCCAAAAGAGAGAATCTTGGGCTCAAGCCACCTGTCAGGTCACTGTAAACTCTCCCTGTGTGAGGGCGTTAGGCAAACAGCCCCTGCTAGAAATATGCTGCATCTCTCTGTGTTTTTAGGGAGCTCTGTGCTCCCCCTCCTAACCATCCCCAACGTGATTCCTGTCCCGGTGCTGAGTCAGGCAGGGTCCAGCCAGGTCAGAAATGCCTCCTCTCCTGGGGGCACCTAGCTCCCCATTTCTTTGACACAGGACTTCCATTTTCTCCTGTAACAGCCCAGGAGAACGAGGCCCTGGAAGACTTACTTTCCCAGTGTCACCCAGTTGGGGACCAGCACCCTTGAATGGAGAGCCTTAGCTTCAGTTTCAGTCCCATGCTCTGCTACCCTCCTTCCAACAGGCTAGTGGTGGGCAAACTCATCAGTCAACAGAGCCAAATATCAACAGTACAATGATTGACATTTCTTTTGAGAGCCTAATTTTTTAAACTTAAACTTCTTCTAACGCCACTTCTTCAAAATAGACTCGCCCAGGCCGTGGTATTTTGTGGAAGAGCCACATGTGGCTTGCAAGCCACGGTTTGCCGACCACTGCAACAGGCTATTCCATCTCCACTCTGGCCAAAAAGATCACGAGAGCAACAGTCTAATGCAGGCAGGGCTTGTTGCCATTTTGAATGGGCATTGACTTCCCTCTTAGGATACCCATTCGAGCCACAGCCGGCCCATTGGAACCACCCGTTGCTGCTCATTTTGCCTAAAAGAACACAGGAGGCGGGAAACCGCTGCCCCTGATTTTATTTCTTGACCTAGAAAGGTTCCGTCGTCTAGTTCCATTGACACTGTTATGCCGGCTCTTCCTTGAAAATGTGCTACCTTCTCTGTGGAGCCCTCAGTGCTTCCGAAAGATTCATCAAATGAACAGATTTCTAAACTGGACTCAGATGCAAGGACTGTTAGGCATGTACTTTCCCTCTTTTTAAAATTTAATTGCCGTTATGCAATTCCAGGGCGGGCTAGTGTTCTTCGACTTAATCGGGTGCATTTTCTCTTATTATCTTTCCGTGCCTTCCTATTCCAGGACTGAGTAAGAGGTTTCACGGTTAGGCCCCGGTTGACTTTAAAGGATTCCCTGGGTTCGTTGGCTGAGGCCCATTGGACTTGGCTGGCTGCTAAAGAGATCTGAGGGAGGACCATTTAAAAGCACCTACTTCTCCGAGGTGCATCAAACGGAACTGGTTTCTAGAAGTGAAGTTGAAAGATCTAACCTCTACTCTGAGATCTACTTCACTTCTCCACAAAACTCAGTCATGTCAGCCCTCTTTGGATGACAAGTGTTGCTGCTGCTTCTTTGTTTCTTCTCTCTTTTAAAGGAAACTTAAAAACCAAAATCATCCTAGTGACCTTGGCCTTAATAAAGCTTCTCAACTCCTGCCAGTAAGGAAATTGTTGAAAAGTCTTCTCTGAAGGTAGTCTAAACAATTTTAGATGAAAAGAACTAAAAATATTTTAAAGCTTCTTAAACTTTTATTGTAGCTGTGGTTATTAATGTCTGATGTAGTTTTCAAAGAGCAATTTGTCTTGTGGCTGTGTTTTCTTTTGTGGATGGAGGGATGATAATGCCTAAACATTTCCAAAGTGGTTAAATGAAAATCGCTGGCTTTTCCCTAAATTCCAATGCCTGGCTGACACACAGCTGTGTTCTCTGATCCTATTTATTTATGTTAAAGGTGTTTACCTAGATCCATGGTCGGTAAACTCATTAGTCAACAGAGCCAAATATCAAAGAACAATGATTGAAATTTCTTTTGAGAGCCAAATTTTTTAAACTTAAACTTCTTATAATGCCATTTCTTCAAAATGTAATTGCTGTTATACAATTCCAGGCCATGGTATTTTGTGAAAGAGCCACGTTCAAGGGGCCAAAGAGCCGCATGCGGCTTGCGAGCTGCTGTTTTCAGACCATGGACATAGATGAACTGGTTCACAGGAAGTGCTACAACCGGTAACTGGTAGAGATTGCCACGGACTCACACTTAAACCAGGAGGAAAAGATGGGCAGATACTCCTCATAAACAGATTCCCATGGTGAGCTGGCCAACAGCAAAAAAAGCAGATGAATCATCCTTTAGGCTCGTCTCCCAATTTTCTTTAGCTTGGAATTTCCTTTATGTTCACTGTGAACTTCCTGGAAGCAATGGACTCTTGAAGCATTTTGTATTGGCGGGGGGGGGGGGGGCGGGGGGGGGCGGGGGGGGAGGAAGGGCGGTGAGGGGGGAATGATGTGCTGCCATTTCCCCCAAAGGAGTGGTTGGCCTTTGGAAGGGGCTAAAGTTTTGCCACTCATCACTTACTAACTACTCTGGATGAGGTGGGAGAGAAATCACTCAGTTGTGTCTCTCAGAAATTGACAAATAGGAGTGGACTATTGATCTGCCTCCCCACACTAACACAGGTCTGGTTAAAGAAGAGAGTTTTATTTTGTTTTTTGATTGGTTAAGGTCTTTCAGCTGGGGGCAGTAGTTCCCATGCTTGACTGGGCCTCTGAGTCGCCTGTCGAAAGGTCCAGCCCATCCCAGATCTCCTGAGTCAGAACCACATTTTAAGAATCCAGCATGGGAGAGACATAAAATGTTTTCCAGCTCTTATAAGATTTTGCAGTTTAATCCTTACTATCAACTATTAATGTTTAGAGCTTCTTATATCTTTTTTAAAATATATTTTATTGATTTTTTACAGAGAGGAAGGGAGAGGGATAGAGAATTAGAAACATCAACGAGAGAGAAACATCAATCAGCTGCCTCCTGCATACTTCCTACTGGGGATGTGCCCGCAACCAAGGTACATGCCCTTGACTGGAATCGAACCTGGGACCTTTCAGTCCACAGGCCGACACTCTATCCACTGAGCCAAACTGGTTAGGGCAAGCTTCTTATATCTTAATAGCTATAAAGATGCATTGAAATATCTTCTAACTTTAATACTGTGTATCCTCTCAGTAGTTGAAGAGAAGGTAAGTTGAGGTAGTTTTGAAGGAATAAGGTTTTAAAAATACACATGGGGGGGAAATGTAAAAAGCTATTAATCTTTTGTATATATGGTCAGGAATAGGGAAATTGCCTTTAAAATTATGAATTATCAAAAGACTATTTTCCATGGTTTCAAAATTTAGAAATAATGTAAAATCCTTTTTATTTTTTATTTTTATTTTTTTAAAAATATATTTTATTGATTTTGTACAGATAGGAAGGGAGAGAGATAGAGAGTTAGAAACATCGATGAGAGAGAAACAT